CACGGCGCATGCACAGAAAGTTTTTAGCTTTGAGGTCCGGATTATGGGTGTCTGAATTAACGACTTTTGACTGTATTAGAAATGTTTATTACTATACATTTAAGTTACACATATGTGAAATTATTCATATCAAACTTGCTTCCTTTTATATAGTATAGTTCTGTTGCATGTGTGATATTCTTTCCTTTTTTTAAAATATGAGCAGAATTTTATACATCTCATAATTCCTTTTTTATTTTTGACAACTTTTATTGTTGGAGACAAATTTTTAACTGCAGGTTTATAATAGAGTAATGTATTTTTATTGTTTTTTTTTTTTTTTTTTTTTAAATGTGTTGAACTTTTCTTGGAGCCACAGCTCCTGGTAATTTTTAGGCGAGCTTTCTACAATTTCTAATATAGTTTTGATATTATATAGGTATAGATATATATTTAATATAGTTCTTTTTTCATGACCTTCGGTAGACATTGTGATAACCATAGAACTTAGAGACATACTAGAACAAATTAGACTTAGAACTTATTAGTCTAGAACTAGAACAAAATTAGAACACAAATTAGACTTAGAGACATACTGAGAAGTCTGAGACATGCTGGCACAAATTGTTTCAGCCATTCATCACTTAAACTGTACTTTTAATTCTTTCACAATTAATGTTTGTGTGCTGTATTTGATATGCATTATGAAATACCTTTCATATTTGCATTTGCTTTATATGGACAAAGTTAAATTGTTAACTAGTATAATTAGTTTGGTATTTACATGTTGGCAATCATGCTTATAAATATTGTTCGGTTTTAACAAGCAGCGTAACCATTTTTGTGTGCTTTCTTTTTGTTGAATTAAATATTTCAACAATTTTTACAGACAGATTGAGAAAGTTTTCTGTATTAAGGTCAGTTTTAAAATATGTTCTAGTAATATGCCCGCAGTGGAAGAAACTACAATAAAGTTTCTGCAGTAGTATTTTGCCACAAAATTATTAAAAGAAACGATTATTTTTCACATGTTTTTGAAGTGATAACCATGAAATTTCCACTAGAACATAAGAAAAAATAACTGTTTATAAGTAGGTGTTTTTCAGTAGTGTTACGAAATGTCCAGCTGCAGTAAGATAGCTTTCCCACAAAGCAGGTTTAGGGTAGCCAAAAAAAAGGGAAGGTAGGAGAATTCGCCCATTTGGTGACAAAGTGGGCAATACTTTATAGCCAGATGGAGAACATTCTGGAACAAATTCTTACTGGTTTAGTCCAGAATGTTCTCGAACACAAGCCAAAAGCTATATAAATCCTGCTGGCATGCGGAGAGTCAGTCCGTGCGAGTGCGAAGTCGGTATCTCGTCTAGCGAATGGATTGCAAAATAGTGAGAGTCTATCGAGTTGATAGGTAGTCAGTGAGTGACGAGTTGGTTGTCGAATGCACCGAAAGAGTCTCTCAGTGTATTGTGAGTCAGTGCATCGTCGAGTTTGATCTTAGAGTGTGTTGAGCTCTGGGAACGACTGAACCAAGTAGTCCGGAGCTGTACTCTAGTGTATCGTGGAGTGCATCCCAAGTTGTATCGTGGAGAGTCTCGAGATTACGTGAAGTTCCGAGAAACCGAGCAGAGTAGAAGGCTGTGTAGCTGATTTTTTTCAGCGTATTTATAGCCGTTCTTTAACGACTGTAAACGTGTTATTGGAGCTCTGTTGAATAATACTGGCCAATAAAGTCTGTTTCGATACTTCATCAAGTGTCGTTGTTATTAACTCCAAATCCACGAACCCGTCCTGTACGTACGTAAGGAGAAACGTAACAGTATAGATACCCAACTAAAATGTAAAATGGTACTTACGTATTAATGCAACTATCTTGGCTGAATTTCGGGATTTTTATAGACAAAAAGATGGATTATTGGATACAAATCGTTGATTTTCATGACCTGTTTTGAAAACATTCGCAAACTATTGTTATTTATCTTAAGTAAGCTAACATTATCATAGCAAAAGAAAACAGACTTTAGAAATTAAAATTTTAATTATTAAATGAGGATAAATGTGATACATTAAAAAAAATTAAACATTTTTTGCAAAATCCTTTGATATGTTTTCTCATAAGAAAAAACCTGAGAATTGCATAAACTTGGTACAGTCAAAAGTCGTTAATTCGGACACCCATAATCCGGACCTCAAAGCTACAAACTTTCTGCGCATGCATCGCGCTGACAAAGTTTAGACTTTACGGCTGCGAATATGCATGTGCGAAGGCTCAAAATACGTTTACGCATGCACGTTTAATGTATAACGGACGGTATAAGCTAAGCTAAAATTATCTAATTCAGTTAATGTTGCAAATTGCGTTGTTCCTTAATCTTCGAATTGGATCTGGCTTATTATTTTTTGCAGACTGTTAGAGCAATTTTATAAAAGTAAGCTTGAACTTTCGATTATGTCAAATAGAATTTCCGATATATATTTACTAATATGTAAAGGATCTACAAAGCAAAAGTATGTTTCGAAGTCCATTAAACAAAAAGTTGAATTGCTGCAATAAATGGATAAAGGCATATCCTTTGTTTATCTAACCATCCCAAAATCTGTTTATCAATTTCACGCCACGGCGCGCAATGAATTGGATGTTGATCTGTCAGCAATATCCTTATCTTCAGGGCAGATGTTTTTATTTTATTTGGCTTATAATTCCTTACTAAATGTAGTATTTCATCTCGATGTACTCCGTCTTTGATATGATTTAAATCAAATTCCTCGTCATTATAATTCGCTTCCGATAGTGAAGAAAGTAAAGTAAACAAATAAATATTTAGCTTTTTTTTTTTTTTTTTTTTTTTTTTGTAAATTTTGATACTTTTTAGATCATAGTTGTTCTTTATTTCATAAGTTACGGTTTCATACTTTTAATTTTATAATTTCTGCATGCCATCTTACCAGATTTAAACTGATGATGTATAAATCGGAAAACTCGAAAATCCGGAATCGCCGAAGTCCCGACGAGTCCGGATTAATGACTTTTGACTGTATTGTTTCCATTAGCAAGTTTACAGCAAAATGCTGTATTCTTGTAAATATTTTACTGCATTTTTTTTCATTGCTAGTGAATTCCACAAGTGATATTTTAAAATTGAGTTTAAGGCAAAAATAGCATTATTTACCAACAAAAACAGTTCTGCTTGCATTAGAACAAAAAGAACACAAATGAAAATGGCGGTTTTGCTTGACTGAAGGATTGTATTGCATGATTGCCTGAAGATTGATTATGTGAATGGTTGCGAGAGTTTTGCACATTCTGAAATTTTGGGAACTTGTACTTACGTGGTTGCAATAATACGCAAGTACCTGTAAAATACGTACATAATGATATGCATGTACATATATTATAAATAATTTTTTTAATTATAAATCATTATTCAAAAGAGGTTGAGCTAAGAATTTCTTCAGTGCGGTATAATATTCTAAATAATTAAATCGATTATAGTGAAGCCCACTATGTGAAAAAAACGACAATGGAACGATAAGTATATGGTTTATGGATTTACCTGCACAACCAAAAAAGATGGCATGCAACGACCGCAATGCATCTTGTGCTCCAAGATATTTTCAAACAGCAATCTCAAACTATCAAAGTTATTAGAGCATTTCAACAATGTGCATGGTGGCGAAAAAGCGCATAGCATGAACAGCTTGAAGTCAAAGAAGGCTCGGTTTGATACCAGTGGAACTATTCTAAAATTGTGCGGACCAGCAATTCAAAAACCTTTATTAGAAGCGTCATATCAAGTGGCATATTTATGTGAAAAAAAAGAAACCTCACACGATCGCTGAAGAGTTGTAAACCTTCTGCTTTAATTATTGCTAAAACAGTTTTAGATTCGGAAGCACATAAAAAAATCCAACAGATTCCATTATCGAATGATATTATACGATCACGAATACAAAATCTCAGTGAAGATATTTTAATACAAATAATTGAAGACATAAAAATCAGTCCACTAAAAATAAGTATGCAACTGGATGAGTCAACTGATGTTGATAATTTTAGCCAACTTTTGGTATTTGTCAGGTATGTGAAGGAAAAAGAGGTGATAGAAGAATTTCTATTTTGTGAGCCACTGGAGGTGAATACGAGAGGAATTGATATTTTCAGCCACATCAAAGACTTTTTTACCAAATATCAATTACCAATGAATGTGATTGGCTCATTATGCACTGATGGAGCCCCAGCAATGTAAGGCAAAAATTCAGGATTTTTTTCACACATGAGAAGAGAATTACCGGAAGTTATAATAATGCATTGCATGCACTTGCATCGAAAGCATTGTCAGAAAGTTTAAAACAACATCTAACTACAGCAGTAAATGTAGTAAAATACATCCGACGGTGAGCGCTTAATCATCGCATTTTGTTGATAGTGATCTGAAAAAAGATCAACTTATTGAAATGCAAGCAAGTGGACATGTTCAAATGGAATTCGAACAATTAGAATTGCAACAAATCGGGTGTTCACAATTACAGCGTTATCCGGAATTGGCGAACGGAGCACTGCACTTTGCTACCACCTACTTGTGCGAAATGGGATTTTCATCGCTTTTGCATATAAAATCTAAAGCGAGAAATCGCTTAAATGCAAGTGGTGACTTATGCGTATGTCTTTCGAAAAAGGAACCTCGCTTCGCCAGTACAATAATGAACAAACAACAACAAACTTGTCATTGATAAAAATAATATTGTTTTGTATTTATATAAAATGTACGTTTTTCAATAAACAATAAGTTTCGCAAAAAATGTATTTTTCTAGACTAAAAAAATTAAAACACATTTTTCAATGGGGTGCGACTCGCTAGAAAGGTTAAGAAACACTGGGTTTGACTGTTGGTAGAAAGACTGATGATTTTTTAGGAATTTCCTGCTGTAAAAAACTGCTGACTCTAAATACATATGTATATAATATTTTATGAGTTCATTTTCTTTGCTTGTTTTTAAAACTTTAAATTGTTTTATGATTTCAGTGCTTTTTAATCTCGTGTGTATATTAATTGGTGGTAAAGATGCCAAGGCCTAAAACAGAAAGGACCATTGTCAAAGGAGTTAAAAGTTCCAATAACAGTCGTTGGACACATAGGTAATTTTTATTATTATGGATTTAAATTAAACCTATATAAGGAAAACAAATGCCATGAATTTTTTGCCCATTTAATTTCCATTTTAAAATAATCTGATTTTGCTTACCTGTTTTGATCACTGACATACACAGCTCAATAGTGTTTATTACAAAGACAAATATTGTTATATATATTCAAGGATGAAGGTTATTAATTCTTACACCATATGAATGCAGTGGAATCTCAGATCACAGAGATCTCTCAAAACAACCCAATTATCTGAACAAGCAGCGTCTTACATGACCAAATGGGATTATAGAGAGAATGTAAACAAGGTTCATACAATCATTAAAAGTACAGTAGAATTACAGAAATCCGCAAAGCTTGGGACCAGAGGTTGTGCGGATTTCAGGACTAGATAAAGCATAATATTCAGACCAAAAGTGCAAAATGAATAAGGCATATTAGATACATTTAATTAAATTATTATATATGTTATTGCAATAATTTATTATATGCATTAAATTATTATTGCATATATAAATTGATTATATTATTCATTGTATTATATGTACACAGCATCAACGTTTGCCGATTTTGCCTCAAGCAAAGATTTCTGGTTTCGGATTTCAGCGTTAGAATCACTGTTAAATTTCAACTGCTGTAAAATTTCAACAGCTTTTCTTTATTTTTCCGTATATCATACACAATCATGTCACAATTCCATACCATTCTGCTATAAATTGAGGAGTAGCACCTGCTTTCATCTTTTGCAGAATTCGCACTTTTTGCGTTTATCGTCAATGCACCGTGTTTACGTTTTTCAATGTTGCAAGCAATAAAATCACGAGTGCGTTTCTTATCTGTCATTGTGTTAAAAAGGGCTGAAATTTAAAATATTCTTAATTTATCCACAAAATATCTGGATAAAAAAAAGGCAGCACTAAACAATCTCGTGAAATGAAATAAAAAAAGCTTAGAAAATTCAACAATGTGAATCGTGAACTTGAACAAAGAGTTGAGTGAATTGTCTGCTTTTTTACCTCGATGCAGATTAGAGGGAAAAGACTTATCTTATATTTTTAAACTTTTTTATATCAATAATTTTGGTGTTTTCGTTTTGACTCATTATTATTCGGTAATTGTGACGTCATTTATTTGGTAAGTATTTTTTTCTTCGATATTTCGTACTCAATGTTGCGGTTTCCGGAACCTATAAACTGAATGTTTGTATTCTGAGAGGCAATGCGAATTTCAGGAGTTGGAGGATTTCAGGTCGGCAGATTTTCGGTGTTTGACTACTTAAATGTCCTTAGACTTTTGGAAATAATTTATGGTGCTTAAAAGATATTAAACTTGTCCAAAACCTTCTAAAGGTCCTTAATTTACTTACTGACATCTCTGATTTTTATGACTGCCATTTTAAATGTGAATTAACATTTTGGGGGAATATTTTTTGTTGATAAATTAACAAATATGTATTTGATAGATTATAATTTGAATTCTTTACTGTTTTTTAATATAAACGATGCATTGCTCGTGCTTTTGGGCAGAAGATGCTGAAATATAAACATTGTGGAATTATTTCTTTTTTGCAAATAAAGAGTTCATAAAACGTTGCACCAAGAACTTTTCCCTTTTTGGGATATGATTTTTTTTTTTTTTATGTGGTGCTAAATTTGGAGACTATGAATATTTTGTCAGTTTTAAGATCAGTTTGTATATAAAATTTTTTATTTGAAGATTTGTGAATTTTTCAGTGGACTTTTTTTTTACAAACATAATAACATTGATAAATATTATTAAAATAATGATAATATTTTAAAAATTATATTTAAGAAATAAGAAATAGCATTAAAATGAAACATTTTCTTCCCATGTCATATTTTAAGCTGACATTACTTTCCAGTTTGGTGACGTGTGAATATTTTTATTGTGGAAAATAAGTATGAAAGTAAATGCTATACAGAAAATTTTCAAAACGTTCCAAAAGCAAAAAAGTTATTTTAATTATTGTACAATTAAAGTATTTTAGAGCAGTTTATAGATACACACATACACAGAACAATAGCCCAAATGGTGCTCTCGTCTCATTGTGTGTTTGGCTTCTCTTTCAGAGGTGCCAAAATTCATGGCAGTGCATAATGGAAAAGCACCCAAATAAAAGCCCCCCCCCCTTTTTTTTCTTTTCTATGTATTGTTTCAGAATATTCAAATGTGTATCAGTTTTTTTCTTAAAAATTCATTCTACACTTTTCTTTTTTTCCCCCCAGTCTCATGTCTTTTTGATCTTTGTCACCTGGTGCAATCTCTATGGGTCCTAAATTCTGCTGCTCAGTGCCTGCCCTAAATTCTAAAAATTTTGCCATCCCTAAATTTTGTTGCTGGATGCTTCACTAAATTCTAAAAATTCTGCCACACTGGTTCTAACCCTGACCTTATATGATTTCATATTCATTCATCTCAATTCTCATATTATTAAAGAAATAAAATTAGAATTTTTTTTTTTTTCTGTTCATTCTAAGTACAATCAGTTCTTTAGAATGACAGAAATCTTTAACTAAATCTGATGAACACCGGTAAATCGGTCAGAGGTTCGAATCCCGCGAATGGGCTGGCTGCATGGGTGTTTTCGTGGTTTTCCCCATGTGTAACGTGTATGCGAGCCAGTTTCCCTTAGAAAGTCCTCCACGAAGGCATCCCTCCCCTTAGGCAGATAGCCCTCGAGGCTTTGCCGTAATTAATAACTCAACTAAATCTGAAAATTCCAAAATGAAGAGGAAACTTATTGAGGAAAAAATTGATTACATAAAGAGAAAGAAAATTATTCTGCAAAGTTATATATCGTGGAAACATTAACAGTTTAGGAGGTGAAGCAGAGACTAGTGGGAACATTGATGTATGTATTGAAACAAATAAACTTCAAAAAGATACTAAAGAGAAGAAAACTGGTGTAAATTAACTAAAATAACTGTAAAACTTTCTTATTGGAAAGACCCAGAAATATTTTGTTGTGTGCTATAACACAATAAAATATACATATTTTGTAACACAACAAAACTACAAAAACATAGGTGTTTGCTAGCTTTCAATTTACAATTAACCTAATATTGTTTTAAAATCAATATCGGAAATTATATGTATATTCTGTTATTTTTAAACTGTAAAATGTTCTTAGGTTGCTATTTCAACAGATTAAAAAAAAATTAAGTAATTTACTAAGGCAATCTAAGTACATTATTTAATTATTTGTAACCAACTACTTACCCTTAGCAGTTATCTCTACATGTTAAGGTGATTTATCGTGTTTCCTGAATCCTTACTGTGGATACAAGATGCAACACAAAAATGTAAAAATTAACATAAAACTCGATGCGAAGCTACGACACTAAGGGGGTCACACAGGCAAAGCTTAACTAACTTTTACCAGCTATGCCAATGTCAGGCACTCGCGTCTGTTCTGATCAGAGGGTTTCTCTGATCAATCTGATTTAATCTCTGATAATCACTGATTTAATGTTGATTTCAAGGTGATCAGTGATTCGTACTGATGTTAATTTCGAAGCTTATGATTTTATCTCTAGGCAAAATTTATACCCTTTGAAATTAACAAAGATGTGTAAATATTACTAGAGGACCTTAAAAATGAGCACGTAAAAAGAATTTGATTGATAACATGTCTTGAAAGTTAAAACATGAAAATAAAATATGATAAAAGATATTTTTATAAAATAAGCTTTTATTTAAAACGTATGGTTGATGAACTATAAAGGAACAAAATAGAATCTTAAGGCAAATGTAAAATATGCTTGGGGTATCTTAAAAAAGAAAGTATGTGTTGAAAAAAAAAAAAAAAAAAAAAAAAAAGGTCAAAGCATACTGAAAATTGGAATGTTGTTGCTCACTTGTCTGATGTAGTTAGCTCAAGCCCAAGAAATTCCTCATGGTAAGGAGCGCTAAATTATGCCTGTTGTTGGCAACAACCTTGAGCACCTAACAGGTGACAGTGTGATTTGCTCAGTTCCACCCCTAATTTTGATGGAGAGCACCCCAGGGGGGAATGGATCCGAGAGTTTCCCCACCTCTCTCCCCTTCCATCAAACCACATGAGAGGACTTTTCGGCTCTCCGCATATTTAGAGTGCTGCTATGCTGCATCGATGTTATACATTTACAAACATTCATGCCTTCTTCAGGATTCAAACCCAGGCCCTTTGGCACAGCAGTCAGCGACGCTAACCACTGTACCAGTTGGCCGGCGAAAGCTGGAAGGTGGCAGAAGAGACTGAATTTTAATTTTTCACAAAACATAAGACTTGATTGGTGATGAAATTTTTTTAAATTAGGAAGAAGTGGTTTAGTCATGTAATTTTTGTATGAAACTACCAATCTCCACAAAAAAAAAAAAAAAAAAAAACACTGCACTGAAAAAGCTTTGCAAAACGAGTGTTAAATGGTAAATGGACAAATGATATGCAATGATACTAACAGTGTCAAGGCAATGAATTAAAAAATTATCTCTAAATAAGATGACTGAAGAGAGAAGCCTTTTTCTCGAGGCATTAATGCTAATATACAGTAAGACCCCGCTTAACGCGGGGGATACGTTCCATCAAAGTAGAGCGTAATGCGAAATAGCGCTAAACGAGGCTATCTTTACATGTAAATATTGGGGTTAGGGGAAGATAGCAAGGAAATTGGTTAGGTATTAAATTTAAAAAGTATGTTTTTTTAATAAAAATAAAACCAAACATTTATTTCTTAAAGCCCAAATTAATACCACATTATTATTTCTTGCAAAAATAAAAACAAAATATAAATAACAAAACGAATATTCTTAAAAAAAAAAACAAATAAAATTCTCAGTCAGTCCTATTTAGTTAGCCTTCCGCGTTTTCAGTGTTCTGCCTTTTTGTGACAAAAGCATCTAATGTTGTTTGCCTTTTTCTTTTGCGTTGTTCTCTTAAAAGTTCTTCATAAACGGATAGAGCATCTCTAACACCACGCCTTACTTTTGAGCTCCTGTCAAAACTAAAGATCAAAATATTTGACACTGTAATATAGTTAAATATGTAAATTAATACTTACTTACAATAATGTCAACAAATGTTTCCAATAATAAAAATATGTCTGTACAATACTGCACCAAACAAGAAATGCAAGTACACTCTTTCGGATATGTATTTGAAACCTATCACTGCATAATATTTCGGGGAATCCCCGTATGCTGCGAGCGATTTCATGGAATCCCCGTGTTGAAATAAAAGAGTGCTAAACCGAAACAGCACTAAACGAAGCAGCGTTAAGCGGGGTCTTACTGTATGAGGTTTCATATATTTCGTACAAATTAAAAGAGAATTTAAAGTTTAATAAAAGACATGCTAGTTGGATGTTACTTCTCGTAAAATTATCATAGGAAATTTTCACTCGTCAGGTTTTAAGTAGCTACTGAATCAGACAGTATTGTTATAGGTTTGATTTGGGCTGTTGAAAAATTAACTGCAGGTTTTTATAGGTTACCTCATATGTAACGTAAATATGAATCACTTTCTTTTATAAAGTCAGCCTGCCAGTGAATAAGATTTCTGAAAATTGGTATCTAATGTTAGCTTGAACTGCCGTTGACTAAACAGGCTGGCTGCATGGAATTTATATGGTTTTTCCCCATGTGCATCGTGAATATGAATCAGTGTCTTTAAGAAGATCTGGTATGTACTAGTGGTTGAATGAATAAGAATCCTAATACTGATAGTTCAACTTAAGTTCAAATCTCAATGAATGTGCTCATATTTATTTTCATATTTTCTCTTGTGTGTAGCATGGATATGAGCCAGTTTCTCTTAAAAAATGCTCTATACTGTAATCAAGTAAACAGATGTATTCTTGGAAAATCCTTTAATTGAGTGTTTTTTGTAATAAATAGTTTTCCTCTTGTGAAGTTTTCTTGAAAGACCAAGCACATAACCCTCTGTAACTGATTACCATCTTCATAATAAATATGTTTGATCATTAAGGAGATTATCATGTAATTGTCATACTATAAGATATGTGGCACATCAAACTGAAGTGAGTTAAACTATTTTGGTGTTAAGCTAATCTTTTGTTCAAATTCTCTATATATTACAGAAGTATCAAAAGCTTATTTTTAAATAAATATTTCAAATTTAGTTGTTTGAAATTTTTAGTTTTAATGACTAATAAGTTTGTTTTTATTAATTTAGGGAATTGTTAGATTTGGCTAAAGCTTTACAATGCTATGGCTTTAGAGATATTAAGAAAGTTGCTGAAGCTGTGAAAACAAGATCTGAAAATGAAGTAAGGTAAGTGTTCTGAAATTAGTCATAGCATTTCTCATCTAAAAACATTCAGTGACATCAAAGCTGATTTCTCTGAATACATGAAAAATTAATTTTGTAATTCTGAACAAAACACACTATAACATATTGTTATTCTCCACAAATTCAATCAAGCTGTATTGATGTTTATGTGAAAATGTTGCTGTATTTTTTTAAAATTTGTAGATGGCCCATTTTGATATGGTATAGAAATGGTTCAGTTTTGCACTTAATCATTTTTAATTATGACACTGCTTGACAACTGCCAAGAAAGAGTAATTTTTCATCATAAATAATGATAGGTATAATGTAAAATGGTACAGATACCACCACATAGCAAAACAAGCAAGGGGGGGAGATGCTCCATACAGCTGTTTTCAGCATACACAAAAAAATTTCATTCTGCTAAAAATAAGGACAGATATAAAACTATCAATGCAGAGTCGGAATCTTCGGCCACTGTTGTATATTATGCAACTGTTGCACATGCTGCCCACTGAACTTAGTTAAAGAGAGCTTGAGGGCCATGTCTTGCACTCAGTATCTTCCTCTGCTCATGTATTAGACACTTCGACTGCCCTGTGCAAACAGACATTGTCATTCATGAACAGAAAATCTGGACCAACTGCACTATGAAAAAAGACATGATAAAGGAGAATTTCACTGTAATATTGCTATGATGCTACTGTATGTATTTCGAAGATGTAAAGAGAAGTTCTGATGTTGCACTTGATAGTCAACCATGCAATTACTCTCCAGCCATAGTGATCATTTCTTGGATGATGCTAATAAGTTCCTCTCTCTCTTTTAACACTAGTTGGTATCCAGAATCACTGTTGATGGTGAAATGGGATTTGTCAGAAAACATGATTGTGGATCATATGTTCCTTAATGATAATGTAATCTTTTCTGATAATTCTCTTAACTAAATTCAGCATGCGTGCAGCTTCTGTGCATAAGTCAACATTATTTGATTGCAAAGAAAATGGGAGTGCCAGTAGTACTGGCAAGTTGTGCAGCTCTCTGAGTAGCATTTCTGCTCCTTTTTGCAACCAAGGCAGCATGTCTGTCCTCTTGAGGTGTAGTGATGTACTATGCAAAAGCATGCTGAAGGTCTTTGTATGGCCTTCAGTATGCTTTTACACAGTACTTCCATCTTCAGAAGCCTTTTTTTACCATTTGATAAACATTCTTCAACATGCCTTACTGTGGCAAATTGGGTGACCTTTGTCTTGTCTCAAGATGCCCAAATGTTCAGCCCATTCAAATAGTGTCTTGCAGGTTTTTCTGCATTTGGTATCATATAAATGTCTAAATTCTGCACCTTGGAAGGGTTACACTGAAATGTTCCCCCCCCCTCTGGATTAACTGGGGTTCTTGTATGTCCTACAAGCTCACTTTTAAACACCTGTTGGGTAGGAAATCACACCCTGGCCAATTACGGTATATTGGTTGACACTGTATTGAGAATGGCCACCCCAATACCTTCGGCCTTTCAGTGGCTGTGTGCGGCAGATGCAATTTTCTATGTATCTTAAACATGAAGCCACAAAACATATTGTTTTGGAGTAGGATGTTGCTCATACTGGTTTTCTTTTCTTGGAAGTAAGAAAGAATTAAATTCTGAGGAACTTAAACTCAGTTAACACAGAAAATTGTATACTTCCTTAACTTTTTAATTTAATCAAGCTTATTTATTACTTATTTATTTTCTTAGGGGCAGGCTATTATTACAGCTCTCATATCAAAACTGAAGTCTGAATTTTTTATTATGTAGAAAAGAGTTCCTAATTCTGGAGTTGCAGCAGGATCTGTAAAGCAAAAGCATGTTTTGATATCAGTGAAGTAAAAAGTAGAATTGCTGAATAATAATAATAAAAAAAGAGTATATACGTCTGAAAATTATGCAAGGAGTATGGCATTAGAAAGGCAACGATATAGAACGTAGAAAACAGAAAAGGCAATTTTTTTATTTCATTGTGAGTGAATTTGACACCTTATTCACTTGTTATGCAAAAAGTTATGATCATGATAGAGTGATGGTTGAATGGTTGAGACAGTGTCACGATGGGATCATGCCATTAATGGGTCCAATGCAAATGGTTCAAGTGAAAATATTTTATGAGAAAGTATACTTAAAAAACTGAGTGCATATATTCGATAGGTTGGTTAACCAAATTAAAAAATTGCCATGGTATGAGGCAGCTAAAAATTGCAGGTGAAAAGGCTTTAGCTAATATTGAAGCAACTTGACAATTTGCAGATGAATTCATCAAACTCATTCATTAAATAATGAAAAGTGAACTGAACAAATTTATAATGCTGACAAAATTGATCTTTTCTGGCTGGCAATATGTACCTCAATACCTTGGTGATCTTTGCAGAAAAACTCAGTTAGTGCCAAAGATTTCGAAGTGAGACTAATGTGCTCTGCAGGAACGCATTAATGGAAACTTTTCATAGTTTGGAAAAAATGAACAAGCTTGGATGTTTAAAGTAATAAAGATTTGTCCTTTCATCTGTTCAAGTGAAAGAACATGGATAGCATAAACAATAAACCAAAGCTCAGCAATATTTGAAATCAGTTGGTTTACCAATTTCAGATGATGCAAAAATTGTCCTGATTATGCACAACTGTTCGGCTCATAACTCACTTAAAATTTTTAGGAAAAGATAACACCTTTATCTTACTCTTTTTTACAAACTGTACATTCATCATTCAACTAATGGATATCAAAGTGCTGCACATGATGAATTGCAGATGTAGTGTTTTTAAATTTACGTTGAATTTTTTTAACAGTTGATTACAGTTGAACTTTTTTAGCATTCAAGAATTTTTTAGATATTTAGCATAACATCTACTGTTTGGAACATTGCAGGGGTGTGGGATGACATGCCTGCAGGTATTTAAAAAAATGCTTGACCTAATTTATGGCAAGCTACCATATTTCAAGGTGGCCATAATGATGATGACAATAGCTGGGGATATGAAGCATTTTGGATATTGCAAGCAAAAGGCGAAATTTCATGGAATTTCTGGAGAAAAGATAACTGAAGAGGATGTAACAGAAGTTTCCCATTGTGATAACAATGCCCTAATCATCAGTTATCTAACGGGCGGCAAAATCTATATTCTTAAAGCAGTCACACAGTAGTCAGTCACCAAACTTTGCAAATTTAGTCCCAAATTTTTCACCTGCTGTGAATTTAATTTTTTAGATTGTTTTGAATATGATGTTGTCCACATGATATTATTGATTTGATATTTTTTCTACTTCTGAATTGTTTACTGTTTTAAGTCATTAGAAAAGAAGCAGAAATTTTTTGTGATGTATATATATTTTTTAATATTTTGTCTTTTCTTAATATTAAAAATTTTTTGAACCCCTAAAATGTTAACCGTTTTAACTTACAATGAGTTAGAAACTGAGCAGTAATTTTTTGTGATATTTTTATATACTAAATTTAATTTTCATGTTTACTTTAGACTTCATGATATCGTTCTTTTGTTATTTATTTGATGCTAAAATATAGACCATTTTATACTTAAGCAGTAGCTTTGCAGTCACATCATTCATGATTTTCTCCCCTTTAAAACATTATCCATATGTAACAAGCAATGGCATTGATCAAGATCCTGAAATATTGCATACTTAGTGGACTCCCAAATAAAATTTTATTGGAAAGCAAAGTATTTGAAGACACAATGTGAAAAGCTGCAGGGGGGAAAATGGTCTGTGTGTTGATAATTTCATAGTTCCAGGATTATTTTTCTTACTGCTTTGCTTTTTATATATTGTTTGACTGAAAAACTAATTTTATCAGATGGTGCAATAAATGGTTAAATATGGATGAAAACATAGTGATTGATAGGAACAACTATACAAAGAGGAGCTTTTGCTTTTTTTGTTCAAATACTTGAAAGGTAAAAATTGGTATACTTAGAAAAATCACAGAGATTTACGAAGGTCTATTTGTTAAGCAAAAGGGCAATATAAGTAGATACAGTTGACCATCATTTTACCTAGAAGTTAGCAGCATTGTAAGATGTTGTTGCCATTATGGCTCAGGATATAATTACATAATTTAAAATACTCAAATTAATTTGTAGCTGAATATATACTTTACAATAGTATACAATAGTACATGTTGTAAGCACATTTTATAAAGACAACAACACTTTACAAACTTCACAGAATTTTACAAACATACATTGCATAACATCCAATTACAGGTGTAGTACTAACGGTTAAAATTTCAGAAAAGAAACTGAGTGACTATTAAATTCTTATTGTAGGCATTGTTCCTATTTAATAATAATAAATTTTAAAAATTATAGTTAAATATAACTTTGGATTCATATTTAGGAGAATTTATGTGGTTGCAATATGTAGGGGGGAAAGTAAGCATTATTGAAAATAATGCAATTTTAAGGTTTCATTTTCAGATAATTTAGCATTGTTATATTTTGTTTAAAACAACCAAATTATTTCCATACAAAGATGTGATTTATTTACATTTATATGACTACATGGTATTAATATTTTTCAAAAAATGCCTTTTAGGTTTATTCTTTCTATAAAATAGAACAAAACACTTTTAACAGTACTTGCTTTGAGAGGACATTGTGAGAACAACTCTTTTAATTTAAAGGTGGCTGATAGGCAGTAATGTTGGCTGAGATCTTTTTATGAGAATTTTTGTCTTTATTGTGGTGCCTCCACATTACCTTATTGTGTGTATCCTTCTATACATAACTGTTTGATGCATATTGTCCTGTAATGGAAAAGATCCAGAGGGGCTTGATTCACTTTTACTGTTTAGCTGGAAAGCAACTTTCAGATTTAAGAAATCGTAATTTGACAGATGTATGGAAGCACTTTTTTTTTTTCATTGAGAACTAAAAATTTGAAACCTAAAAAGTTTTGAAAATTGAGACTTAAAATTTTCTTATAAATTACAAGACAGGCACATAATAGTGACAA